TTAACCTAGAAATTAATTCCAGTTCATTTTCAGTGCGAAATTGATGTAAACTAATTTCCTACAAACGAATTTAAATTAATTTGGCCTCTTGAATTGATGTGAAGTAATTTTTCATCGTTTTTTGAGTCAGAAATTAGTGTACATTAATTTAAAGTTATTTAAAAGTTCCAATGGGTAAGTGATGAAAGAAGATTATTTATCTATATCGAACGGTAAGAGCGAAGAAAAAAGATACCCACGTCAGTACGCTAAAATCCAATATAGCAGGAAATCAAACTATGAGTTTATCAGACAATTAAAGCTGTAGTCTATAATAATTATAATAATTTCGAACTATGTACATGTATAAAATACTTAATACAATCACAGGTCATTTTCCAACTAAAGATTCTATCTGTACTGATCAAATTTCAGATGTAGTTGATAAAATTAAGATTTATTGACATTTTTTGACTTTTTTACGTTTCTTATAAAACTAAGTGTAATAGAAGACAAATAGTACGACAGACAATTAAACATAAAACGGAATGGCTATTGCCATATGCATATATGCTATATGCTATATTTATTTGAACGGAAACAATAACAATAACAAAAACATTTTAGTTTTTAAACATAATATGTTACTTGGAAAGTGAATTGAAAATATAAAGAACACGTTTAATTCACATACAACAGAACAATTGAATGATTCACTCAAAAAAAGTATTTTTTTCTTTTCTTACATTAAATTACATACATAATTTTAATTTTAGTAACAGTAATCACGAGAATCAATTTGTCTCGTGATTGTATCATCTGATACGTATAGGTTGAACTAACACACATATATATCTCAGCTAACTTACTAAATTCATTTGTAAACAGAAAGTCTGTGTATGAATCACAAATTGATCCTCGCGATTGAATTATGTATGTAATTTAATGTAAGAAAAGAAAAAAATACTTTTTTTATGTGTTAAGCAGTGATATTGACGGTCCAATATCTCCACAAATTCAGCCGATCTTTTTCTGAAAAATAGCTGAACATAATGTGTAACTTGTGTACTCGAAGTTAGGGTAAAAAAGGCCAGTAAGTACTCTTGACTTAATGTGATATTAATTGATCAAGTTAACGGATCATGCATTAAATGCACAGTGAGAGAGAAAAAGATAGAAAACTAAATTCAAGCTAAAATAGAAAATTTATTCTTTTCATTCTTATATCTTTTACAGCTATCATAAATAAGGAAATAAAGTCGACAGAAGAAAACTAAAGCGGCATGTTTGAAGTCCTAAGTTGAACTATGGTGTTAGAAAAAACAGAATATGGTAAGGCGAAAGAAACAGCAAGAACGAAACGAAAATATCGAGCTTAAAATGCCAAATTTAAGTAGAACAGTTCACATATAACGACACATGAACGCTGCTCAAATGAGCTAGCGTTTTCATTTATCTGTGCTAGTCAGCAATAATTGATTTGAAAGACTTGCCTACCACAGCCCGAAGAGAAAGCCGGACAGCCATCTTAGTTGAACAAACTTCTTCCAGAACTTGACTACTAATATTTAGTTTGTTTAAGTGAATATTCTCTTCGATAAGAAAAAAGTGCTTTCTTTTGTTAAACAATCACATTGTGAACCAGATAACTCCAAAACTAGGCAGTATCCTTTTTGGAAAAATAGTCTATGTTAAAATCTGAGTGCGACTGCTTTAAATTCGTTTGAAAATGGAGAACGGGTGCCTTTTTAATTAGTTAACTTGTGAGAAAAGCAGGAAAATTTCTAGTGTATCGTTTTGCTTTCGTTGAGAAGAAAAAAAATCTTTCATATCTTGTATAGAATATAGTTCAGCTTTCTAATAGTGTTAGAATGTGTAATTTACAACTGAAAACGAAAATGTTTCTGTTCTGTAATGACCACCGCATTTTCTCTTTCTGTAAAAATAAGAGAAAAAGAAAAGAGAGAGAATGATAATGATCTATACCAATGCGTAGACAAATATATTCTATGCGTAGAAAAATAAATTCTACGCATCAATTTTTCCACGCGTAGAATATAGTCTACGTCTACGTTCTACGCATTCTGTTATTTTTGACGGCTTCCCTTACTGCAAAAATTCATTTTTTCTAAATCAGAGGCGAAAAAGTCGGAATTTTGACGCACCATATTCTCCTTGACAACGCAAACAACGAGTTTTATTTCTGTTGAATAACCAGCCATAGCAGAAAAGAAAAAACAGAAAAGTATGATGCCATCATGACACTCAAATGATGTTGGCTAAAACGTCGCGTCCATTCAGTCCTTTGATTACAACTGAGAGCAAAACGAATACAAGCAGCGATTTCATATCGTAAAGAAGGATGCAGCATGACTTATCAGAGCAATTAGTTACTACTTGTGGCAACGATGGTAAGTTGATCACGTGTTCTTCAACCACATTCATTGTAACACACACAAGCATGATGATTGCAATATGTTGAGAATAGTGGAGAAAGAGATGACATCCAAGGTCATGAGAATACTAAAATGCTAATGGCTGGCTATCCATCCATATTACACAGAGAGCATAAAAACCATGCCTACCCGTGGCGAAATTTTTTGAATAAAATCGCGGTTAACCGCAATATAAAAACTTGCGGCTTCTGCCGGTTTACATACACCGCTGGTCAGACCGTTTATTAGGGTTTTACACACCGGCCGAAGCCGCGGTTTATTATACAAAAACGATTTTCTTGATGTTATCGCCGGTATGTGTTCGTTTTCCGTCCTTCTCTCTTTCTTCATTTGTTTCTATAGCTCTGAGCGCGGATATCCGTGTTCTCACCACTGCATTCATCTACCGCGGTTGTTGCTTCTATTGCACTGCGGTGATCCTGTAACGCTAAGATTCGAAATCCTTACCTTTGATTTGCTTGTCCAACATGTTTCCATTGAGCCATCTCGAGTTATTTTTACAATGATCAAAACTGATATTATATCTTACCGATGTAAGTGTTTTAAGTAAGAAATATGTGGGAGATAACCATAGGGAGATAGTCATATTCGAGAGTGAGTATGCACCTTCCCATTCTCCCTCCTTTTTGCTTCAGAGACTCTTTTCATATAAGAGAGCTAGAGACTAAGAATGCGAACTCTCGACAATGCGCTTTTCTCTAGATGTGACCCAGTTTCAATCGCTTCCGAACGAAGTTATTCTTGAAATCTTCGAGCATTTGAACGCTTATGATATTCTCCATTCATTCCTTCGATTAAACGATCGCTTCGATGGACTACTCGACAGTCTACCGTTTGATCTGAACTTTCATCACATCAGTAAATTCAGATGTGACTTTATCTACCAACACTTTCCATCAACGGCACAAGTTCGTTCTCTGTATCTGTCGGAACAGACCTCCGATTACTTTGGCTTGTTCCTCACCCACTCTTCCAAGAACACATTGGTGAATCTTCGCTCCTTATCGCTGCTAGACGTCAAAGCAGAACAAGTGATCAAACTGATAGTGCCACAGGTGTTCTGTATCACACAACTATCGTCACTAACGCTTTGTATGAAATTAAGCCATTTCAACGACACGATGGCTGAAGACGCTTTTGAACTATTAACCATCGTTGTAAACGAATTGAAAGTAAACAAGACTCTTACTCAACTTTCTCTTAGAGCCATCCGAATATCTGATGGAGGTGAAGCACTAGCAGAAGCACTGAAAGTAAACCACACTCTTACTAAACTTGTTCTTGAACATAACCAAATATCCGATACAGGCGGTGAAGCACTAGCACGAGCACTGAAAATAAACATCACTCTCACTCAACTTGATCTTAGCAGGAACCAAATGTCCAATAGAGGGGGTGAAGCACTAGCAGGAGCACTGAAAGTAAACCACACTCTTACTAAACTTGATCTTAGCTATAACCAAATATCTGATGGAGGAGGTGAAGCACTAGCAGAAGCACTGAAAGTAAACCACACTCTCACTCAACTTAATCTTACCTATAACCAAATGTCCAATAGAGGAGGTGAAGCACTAGCAGAAGCACTGAAAGTAAACCACACTCTCACTCAACTTAATCTTACCTATAACAAAATGTCCAATAGAGGAGGTGAAGCACTAGCAGAAGCACTGAAAGTAAACCACTCTCTCACTAAACTTGATCTTAGCAATAACGAAATATCTGATGGAGGAGGTGAAGCACTAGCAGAAGCACTCAAAATAAACCACACTCTCACTCAACTTGATCTTAAATATAACGAAATATCTGATGGAGGAGGTGAATAGAGACCTGCACGGGTTAAGAATACCTAACCCGGACCCACTGCAACCCCGAAGCACTGAAAGTAAACCACACTCTCACTCAACTTAATCTTACCTATAACAAAATGTCCAATAGAGGGGGTGAAGCACTAGCAGATGCACTGAAAGTAAACCACTCTCTCACTAAACTTGATCTTAGCAATAACGAAATATCTGATGGAGGAGGTGAAGCACTAGCAGATGCACTGAAAGTAAACCACTCTCTCACTAAACTTGATCTTAGCTATAACCAAATATCTGATGGAGGAGGTGAAGCATTAGCAGAAGCACTGAAAGTAAACCACACTCTCACTCAACGATTTTGGGTTTTCGACTAATTTATATACTTTGAGGTACCCTCTTTCAAGTTAGAATAGTACTAGAGTCTGAAACCGATGAGAAAGGATTTCTAGGCGGCTTACAGAGATCGTTCTTGATGTTTTTGTAATTTTCTCCTTTTTCTGACGAAATTTATACGTTTTATGCTTATAGTAGTTACATTTTCTGTAGATTATTGATCCTCCTTCATCCGATGGACATGTGCAGAGGCATGTGTCGCATATGCAGTAGCGTATGAAAGCATATGCGAATAAGTTTTCAATACTTTTTGTCTTTTATATAATAGTATTATGGTAAAAACGTTTCTCTTATGTTAATCAATCCTCCAGTACACTTTCCGACTGCTAGTATCGAACCATGGTTGGTAGATTCATAATCCATAAGCGAAAATATATTTCTAACGTTATTTATTTTTTCTCGTTAGATATCTATATGTTTATTTTCTCCTAAATGTGAAAATACGCGATATTGAATAAATGTAAATTAGAACTGGGAATAAGGTTTTTGTAGAGCACAATAGTAGACAAAACATCACTGAATTCCAAAAATCTTTTTGCAAAAAAAGTATATTTTATCAATCTAAATATACTAGCAAATGAAAAAAGTTCTTAGTAAGTATTTTGGCAAAATTTATAAAAACAAATCTTCAGAACCTGATTTTTGAAGGAATATTTTAAAAAGTATACAAAATACTTTTTACGGAAAGGTTTGAAAACAGTTTCTGATAGAACACGACTTTCTCTACAGTCCCTGGAAGTTTCAAATCTTAATTCTATTCGCGACGGCCCGTCTGACTGGTAGACACAAATTAGAGGTCTTCAATGTCATTGGTATTACTGAAGCGGCCCTTACTTGCACCTGTATTCGCAGGTATATGGGTGCGGGATGACGTACTCATTCTACTCAAGCTGCCTCTCGAACTCGATCGATATATTTATGAACTTCAGTTTTTTCATCATTTGCTACCTCTGAAACGACTTTGACTTGGTCACTGTGATTTACTGGCATCGTTGTTTTTCGAATCAGATAAAAAAGGGCCCAAAGCACTTATTATATAGCCGTCAGTGGATGTTATTATCATTGGTTTTAAAAGATGACGATGTTTGTGAGTGCTGTAGGATCGTCGCTGAAAGTAGTTGTTTCTGGACTTTTGACAATACAGATAAGTTCCGTCCATAATAACACAAACTCTCGACTGTCCATTGAACAGAAGTGTTTTAGCTAGATCAGTAGTGTGCTGATTAATTATCTGTTCTCTGGTAATATGATCGAAACCGATATTATTTGGAACGAATTCTTGCATCAGTGCTTCTCGAACTTGACGAAGAATATGTGATACTTTTTGTTTGTTTTTCAAGTGAAAAATAGAAGACAGTACAGTGTGGCTGATCCCTAATCTCAACTTGCATAAAAAAAGAGCCAAAGCAGTACGAACGGAGCGAATCTTAGAGTTTCGAAGACCTGGAAGTTTGGATAGTAAATTGTTAAAATCACCTTGAATAAAGAGAAACATTTGCGCCCTAGAATCATGCCGTCTATCTCTAATCATACTGACTTTTCTTTAAACCTGTTAGATTGTAATAAGCAGCATCATTAAGTGAAGAGGGATCGTCGAAATCAAATATGTTTTTCTGCATCACTGCTGAAACTGTGCAAAAATCACGAAGCAATTGTGAAACGTCACTTGATGTGTATGTTATAACGTCGGATATAACTCCAGATATTTGTTGACATGCTTCGAATGTTAAACTCTTTTTGTACAAATGATGAGCACAACACCGAGAGCCCTCAGGAATGTAAACACCTCGTTTGATAAAAATTGCAGCTCTCATTTGTCTAGACAGAACGTATGACTTTTTATCAATATTCTTGCAAACCACACACGACCTAAGATGTAAAGTGAATTTCTCAGAAATAGTGTGTGACATAAGATAAAAGAAACTACAACGCCCAAATACCTGTGAGATTTGGTTACTCTCTGAACAGGAATTTGCACAGAGCCTGAAACAGTTATCTGACCATCACTAATACTGGACAACTCCATTGAGCTACTACTATGATGAATTTCCATATTCTAAACAATTTATCAAGGGTGAAACCGTCTCATATACATTTGCAAAAACATGGTGAGGTACATACTTCAGAATTATTTTGACTATTATCAATATCGATTATATTAGCTTGAGCTTCTTGAATGAAATTCTTAAACTCATTCTTGATCTTCCTTACCCATCTATCATACTTAGACCGACAGCTTTTGCAAATACAATCACCCAAGCATATTCGTTTTAACGTCCGAGAAGAAATAAATAATCGCAACAGTTTACAAGAAATTCTATTATGATGATTATCGTCTAAGTTTCGACAACATCCAACACATCTAACATGCATCGTTTATATGATGCAACTTTCACAACGCAAAAAGTAATAATCTTTCTAGTATTTATACTACACCACAGACAAAAGACTACCTCAAACATATCATTCACACTACACGCATTTCTGTATATTCACGTATATATTTAAGCTATACAAACAAACGTGAAATTAAAATCAGCTGTATAGCAATATCAGCTGTCCATACAATAATCAGCTGCTTAAAGGTCAAAAAACAAGCAAAACATATAAAACACGTATCTTGCATATCTTTTGCAGACGCTACTAAAACAGAAAACGCTATACAAGTTCTCTTACGTTTAAGCGGCGAACAGTTAAATTCACAAAGACCGCTGCCAGGCTTCGTTAATGTTCTTATTAACACATCTGGTAGAGGTTTTCAAGACGCATTGAATGATATATGAATGATTAGGGATCACCTTTATTTGAGCAGCATACAAGAAAAATGTGTAAATAAATGAAACAAATGTTAGTATAAAAGCATGCATCAGATTAGAGAGGGTTGAGCTAACTAGTACTACATAGAAAATCTCATCTTCAATGAAGTAATCAACCGCAACTCAACTAAACTACATGGTTGAGGAGAGAACAAAAAAGGTAGAAATCACAAACGCCATAAGTGGCAGACGGACAGACATGCAGAATTAAGTATAATGGTTGATAGATAACACACACGAAAGAAGAGAAATCTCATGAGTGTCTTAAAATCTCCTCCTATGTTCTCAAGCTAACTGTAATTTTTTAATTAACGTTCGAACAGCGCTTTCACCACTAACCGCGAATTTTTTGAATAAAAGAAAATCAAAGAATTCATTAGTTTTTTTTTTGTCCCTTGATAAAAATCAATATTGAACACATGAAATAGACCTGCCCATATCACTACTGCTTCCAATGAATTAGCTGTTCTAATAAGATGATTTGAATCTAAACCAGTTTTGAAATAAGTAACAGAATCATGACATACTAGTATAGACGGCCAAGCACTTCTTAGACCTTTTGGATCCTTAATGTAAAAATTAAAAATAGTGCATGGGTTATTTCACTACATGCAAGGTGTGATTTTTTAGTGCTGTAAGAAAATTCGAATTAGTCCACTCGTTTTAAGAACTAGACCTCATAACGGTAAACAAACAATAGTTATTTATATTTCTTTTTAAAAGTCGAAGGCCCTGAATAAGATAAGTTTGATGAATTCTGGATAGATTGAGCCAATAAAATAGTAATAGTTTAGTGGGCCGAATTCAAGCCTTATGCGGACTACTCCTTTGAAAATTTTTCTCGCGACCCTCAATAAATCCCTTGAGATCTAAACATATTTCTGAATTCAAGACAAAGTAAAAGTCAAGTAAAATGTCAGCATTCTCGAAGAAAATATGCCAATAATTTGCAAAATGAGTGGCGCGAAGATGCGTTGCATGTTTTAGCTGCAGTAAACTACGATGAACCGGTCTCAAGGTCAGTATGGAATATACTCTGTTAGGAAAAAATGGAAAAGAAACGATATCGTTTGCAGATGAAGCCTAATGTCTTACTAAAAAGCTTCATAGGCATAAAGTTGCCGAACCTATTCCTAATTACGAGAAATTTACCGCACTGGAATGTGAGATAGTATTTGAGAATACTAATATTCCCACATGTTATTACCTAAATTTACTAACTGAGACTTTTGAAACTTTTCTTAATACGATCAGTGGCCAACCACATATATTGTAAATACGCTTTTTAACATGTTTAGTAACATAGCTCGATCAGGATACACCGATATCTCGAACGGGATATACATCAATAAAACTGGTTAACGCTTAATCATCCAGTTTTATTCATTGTGTTGAAACATTGAGTCCAAAACAAGCCTACAATTTATATCTTAAAAGATATCGAGGACCGTACGGTATACCGAAAACAATTTCATACAAATGATCGATCAATGATGAATAAAATGTTAAGAAAAAAGTTTTGTTCTTTGATAAAAAATAATTAAATTCAGGCTAATATTTTACACAAAATATCTGTTATCAATAGCTTCTAGAAGTATTATTAAATAACACATATGGTCAAGTACAAAAAAGCGACGTGGTTCTAGTAGGTAAAAGAATAGTATCAAGCATCTTATGAACAAATAAAACACCAACTAATTGATCTTTTACAACTTTGTGATCATTGGTTATTTGTAAAGTTATCTGCTGTTTGGTCATACTTGTTTATGTATTGCCCGTTTTTCTGTAAATAAAATTGTATAAACAACTTGCGAGGCAGTGATAAATGCATTTTTTTATTTAGAACTAGCTTGTAGTTAGCTCGCCAAATAATAAAAAAAAACGACATTAATTATTATTGTTTTTTTACGACAAAAAAAACGTAAATTATATAAATAGAAATAAAGACACACATACCGAGATGCAACAGAAAAGAGCAAACAAACCAAAGAAAAACAGACTTTGATTGTTTGACACAAACGTGAACGTTATGCTGTATAATATATACATGAACAAAAACTGAAAAGTTTTTACAAGGACAGACGACAAGCAAGCAATTACTCTTACACGCAATAAAAGAGAAAAAAATGTTCAATTTTACATCTAGATCTGACAAACTACTAGAAAACTAAAGTTTAGTTACAGTAATAGTCAATTTTTAACACTTAAAAACAACATAACCATAAACAATCAAAGCCTATTGCAGTTCCAAATTATGATCATTATTCATTCTAAAATTCACATACAACAAAAGAAAATCAAACGACACACAATGTCAATGTTACACGTAGGTATAAAATGAACTAGATGATACATGAGAGAAACGAGATGTGTTTTTTCAGAAAGGATGATCAAATACATTGACTGAACAAAAAAGTCTCACACTTAAATTACAAACCTAATATTTAATTATTCTACTACATTACAACATAAAAGGGGACTAGTTTCGAACATGCACTAAGATAAAAGAAAGAGAAAATGAGAAATACGCAGTTTCTGAGTGTCTACTACCGATGATGTTGAATGACGGAAGTGGATTACAATAAACACATGTAGGAAACGCATGCACAAAAACCCACTCGTGATACATTTATCTTAATAATAAACGTTTCAAATTTGTACGTGTTTTACTTGAAAAAATGGGTGAAATTGGTTGACGTTTTTTGAGTGGTGACATAATAGGTCCAGTTTTTATTTTACATGGACTTAATGGATGATAAGGTCCTGAACAACGATAACAAAAATTATTTTGACACGTTGGATTGGAACAAATACCATGTTGATCGTTAATATCCACAACGGAAATATATGAGCAGATAGGGCATCGTTTTGGTACTGTTGGACCATGAAGATATTTTAAATATTCATAACGATATGTTTTTCGTGGTGATACTATAGTTGAGGATGGAGAAAATAATAATCTCGAAAACGGATGATTATCATTATTTGATGGGTCTACATTTTGATCATTATTTATAGACGTTATTATTGGCGTGAGTGCCGTTGAGGTAAGTTGTGCCGGTGTTGAAGAATATGGTAAATTTGTTAGTGGTCGTAGAGGATGATTTTGCGAACTAAGTGCTGTTGTATTATTCATTGAAACTGGTGTAGGTATAAATAGACAATGATGTTGGATATGTTCCTGTTGTAATTGTTGCTGAAGTGGCCGACGTTGTTTTAACGGAGTTTGTTGAGAAAGTATCTCATACACACTCTTTCTTTCACATGAAAATAAATTTCGCTTAACATTTGCCAATTGTTTATGCTCTTTTTGTTTCCAGTAATATTTACCAATGATTTTATACCAATTACGTGAGACGCATAAACAATGTTTGATATCATTAACAGGTAAATTTGTTAAAATTTTATCAATAAGATGAAATGCATTATGTTGAGATAAACGTGTAAATATATCAATATATTTTTTTGTTTTTATATAGTTTTCATAATCTTCATGTGACGAAAAACGTATATTTTGTATTGAGTCTTCTGTAAGATCTCGTTCGTTATCGATCGGAATATCACTAGGTTGTTGCATTAATAATGAATGAGTAGGAGAAGAGAAATGTTGCAGCGAAATATACGACGATGACAATGATGAAAATGTCAAATAGCCAGAATCCATTTTATGCTCAGTCATATGTTGATAATAACTACTTTTATCCATCTGTTGTAATGAAAAATTATCGAAACAATATGGCTGCTCACTTGAATCATCGTTAACACTCATTGCCATGATTGATCGAAAATGAAAAAGTACCAGAAAGAGATTTAAATCTGAAAACGAAAAATTAATCTATAACTTTGGTTTATTTGTATTTCTTACAAAGAATATCGCAAACTTACAAAGCTTTTCAACATTTATACAAGAAAAAAAACATTTAACTTTGCCTTGACTAAACTGAGCAAGCAAATTTCTTTCCATTGTGGCGTATTTCATACAAGAAAATATAAGAAAGTTGCAGTCGATGATCTTAATTATGATGTGAAGTATTTTGCACAGAGAAACCTAAACGTACTCAAACGGTAAAGCACTTTTGGTTGTTTGGATATCATTTTAAATATAGCAGAGGACTGGTGATGTGTTTAATATCTTGTTTGCATCTTACGCAAGATGGAATGCTTTTCTAATAACAATTTCAAGAAAGGGGAGAAACTAGAAATGATAAAATTCTTTTTCATTGATTAGTAGAAAAAGCCAGTCTTTTATATGATTCCATAACTTCTTAAAAAGTTTGACACCTTTTTCATCGTGTGAAATAATAAAAGATACTTTCCCAAAAACATCAACCCTATTACTCTAAAAAAAGAAAAGTATCTGGTTAGACTTATTTAATTTTCAAATGCTATCAACACTTTGCGGATATAGTGCGTACGTACAATTTGTTTGAGAAATAGTTGAGAGTGATCTTTGTCTCTATCGCCACAAAGACCGCCGACCTACATCGATTTGTCCAATGATATATGACGCTGCGTCTAAAGTGCATAACTGCTTTATTGATCATAGATGTCGTGTGGGAAGAACCGGTTTCTACCCTTTTATCTTATATAGTAACAAAAAAGGACCGTACATGCTTAAAATTTATGAAGTAAATGAGGAGGATTTCACCGAAGTTTTCAATAGCTGAAGCTGTTTAAAGTATTCGCCAATAATTTGAATTAACAATATACTCTACTTTGTCTATGTGTTTGCTGTGGACGACATTCTAATTCATGGTCTTCATGCCAGCGAGTTGTAAGTAGAAAAAGTAGACGGAAAGAAAATGAGTTAAAGATGCACACTTCTGCTTAAGTTCTCTCAGTTGGAAAGTCTGAGAATATGCGTTAAACGATTGGTCGACGCATAAAAGTGTCTTCCTTCTGCAGGTGTATTTCTATTGCTATATTTTGTATCATTTTTTGTTTCCTGACGTTTATAGTGTATGAGGACTCTTGATTTAGGCCAAATGAAGCGATTTACAGTTGAAGACACAGTCTAATGAGTGTATTTCATTGCCTCATCAGAGAGTTTGTGAGGAGTTGAAGCATTGTGTGAGACGTTTCGAAGTAGTAGTTTAACTGTATAGATTTCTTCCTCACGTTGTGTCTCTGACTTTGATTTACTATCATGTGAAGTATTTGTCGCCTTTTGTTTCAGGTTCGTTTAATTAAAGAAACTGCAATTGAAAAATATTTGCCTAGTATTTTAAACTCAAATGGCAAATATACAATTGATCACAAATGCATCTGCTTTATCTTATATTGAAAAAGATGTTGATAAAGCTATTGAATCAGGTGAGAATAAAGTTCATTAGAAACAACACACATTTTTTCTACTTTGCTTTTTTTCTGTCTTAAAGTACTAGAATTTTATGATACAACAAACTCAAATATTGATTCGGTAATCGTACAGTTACAACAGGTAATTAGTGATGTCAAAGAAACATGTGAAAATCAAAAATATGCAACAGCACAACCACCAAACACAAATGAAATCGTTACAAATGGTCTTCGAAATATGATAACAACAACACAATGTGTCACTAAAATGAAACAGTCAACAAAATATTACAGTGATAAACATAAAGATTTACATGCTTGTATATCAAAAATAGGTAAAACAGCTGATAAATGTTTTCAATCTGATTTTGGTAATGTGCCAATTGTTGATATATTCGATACAACAGATAAATTAAAATATATTCATATGATTATTTGTGAAGATTTATATCGACAAGGACGTATTTCAATAGCTAAAAAGTTGATTGAAGAAACCAAACTGAATGATAATGAACTATTCAATATTGAACAAACAATTCTAGAAGAAATTAATTATATTCTAGAAAATATACGGGAAAAAAATTTACAACCTGCTCTCGACTGGTGCAAGCGTAATCGTGAACAATTATTAAAAACAAACAGTCTTCTTGAATTCCATTTACATAAAATGAGATTTTTACAATTATTAATTGAACAAAATTATGATGATGCTAAAATGTATATGTGGAATTTTAGCCAATATATTCAAATGAATAGTGAATGTGAAAAAGTTGTCAAAGAATTGATGGGAGCATTTGTGTTTTCACAACGTGATCTATCAAAATCACCGTATAAATATTTATTGGAACCACATCTTTGGTTACAATTATCAGATTTATTTGTGAAACAAGCATTTCAACAAATGGGCTTATCTCAAGATAGTCCATTGTATGTTGTCATGAAAACTGGATTTAGTGCATTGCCAGCTTTGATGAGGTAAAGATACTGCTTCTTCTATTTTACTTCGAAAAGTGATTGATACTCTCGTGCTTGTCTATTCTATATTAGAACAATTGTATTCATATTTTTTCCATTTTATTTAGTATCGTGAATGCAATGCAAAATACTCAAGTCTGTCATATATTATCGAAAGATGAATTACCAATTGAAGTTGATGTTGGTCAAGATCATCGTTATCATAGCGTATTTGCTTGTCCGATATTAAGACAGCAAACAACTGATCTAAATCCACCAATGAAATTAGTTTGTGGGCATGTCATATCAAGAGATGCGCTAGTAAAATTAACCACACAGACAAAATTAAAATGTCCATATTGTCCGATGGAACAAAATCTGAGCGATGCACGACGATTATTTTTTTGACAGATAATAGTCAAGACTACTGTTCAGTAAACGTGTCGTATATGTTTAATAAGAAAATGCATTTAAAAATATCCAAAAGGCTGAAGGAGTGTGATTTTGTAGAAGCAATACGGCCTGTACTTTTTATTAAGCAATAAGTGTCTAAGTTATTATTGTGTAAAAATTCAGTGTTGAGAATTTGGAAGGCAAGTGAGACTTGGAATTCAAATCAAATACTTGTTGTGCTGTAGACGATTGAAGAATAAACGTCTTGTTTTACCGATAGTGGATTCAGCAGATTTAGTTCATTAATGTTTGCTTTTGACGTCGAATTAGTGGAAGAAAGCTACTCATACGTGATATGTTTCACCAATTCAGATAGGTCTCAAACATCATCCGAACATAAACAGAATGATATAACGCGTATCTCACTTCACTGATCAATCTGGTTTTCTCGTCAAAATTTTTATGTATGACGGTTTTTTAAGTTGATCAGACTTAGTGGTTTAAAATACTATAATTGCATTTTTATTTATGAATTTTGTGTACATTTTGACCATTTTTCATACTTTTTTTTCTTTTGAGACAAGCGTCAGTTTTCTATTTCTATTTATTCATTTTACTGTTTGGTCAGGTGTGCTACCTTTTTGTCATAAATGTACATTTGTGTATATTGATTTCAAACGTTTTGTTTTTATTAACAGTTTGTTATTTTCTTTCAATTCAAGCACGCTATTCAGGATCACAAATCCTCGTTTTACTGAACTTAATGAGAAAAATATTGGACGCTTTGAATTGTTTTTGAAGTAGCGTTATTCATATTTTTAATAAATAGTAAATTTTTATATTTTATTTCTAGATTTTTAGTTCTCCTTTTACAATCTTTTTTCATGAAACCTAGTTTCTTTAGAGATAATCTATTGTAACCAGCTTGATTCTCTTGATTATAATCTAACGAGTGGTTTTTGTTTAACAAAATTTTCTGATCTAAAAGGAATCGTTCCTCAAGATATTAATCACTGACTACTCGATGAATTAAATCGAATCGATAATAACGGTTATGGTGATCGATCAGCAACATTTACGCCACATGCAAAAACAACACCTGTGATTGGTAAGAGTTACTTTGTCTGAGAAATAATTTATGACTCTTTTTATAACAGACACAGACAGTTGCAACTCATGAACAAAATTTAGCATAGGAAATGGTTGTTATAGTCTTTAGTACTTTTCGATTTTTTTATCCTTTAGTTGATGATCGATGATTACATTATGATAAGATAATATTTTTTCTCTCTTAACTTCAGTAGAGCAAGATATCAATGTTTCTGTATTTCAGGGCAAAATAGCGTGTGCAAATGTGTATGCATGTGTGCAGTGAACATTGATAATGTATTAATGTTAGTTAGTTCAAGTAACGGGGTGATACTATCATTTCCATTACGGTACAAGGATTCAAGGTACTGGAGTTTATTTGTTTTTAAGTATTGTGTGCTTCCTGAAACAGTTGTTTTTTAGGATTGTACCGAAGAAACGAATACAAATGCTCACGAATTAAAAAATTTATATATTTCTTTGAGGTTGCAGTGAACACACATCAATGGCTTGATTTAGTAGAACGTTGGAATCGTATTAAATTGGTATGTACAGAGTTGATAATTTTCTGATAAACTCAACCATGCGTTTATTGTTCATCTGTTGTTGGTAGATTACTAATTGTTTTGTCTCGAGAACAAGCGACATGTTTTTGTAAAAAAATTCAAAATCATGAAGGCTATCAAGCATGGATAATTAGTGTTGCTGAAAAACGTGTATGTACTGCGAAAATAATCTATAAATCAAGAATAATTGAAGATACTGAGGGTGAATTGTGGTAGTTAACGTAGCGATTAACGAGAAACTTTCTGCTACTAGTCAGATTAGTCAGATGCTATTAGTCACACCATCAATGGTGATTATTAAAAATGGTGATTTGTATATGTTTAAACTGATGGACAAAAATTGAGAGCACTTTGTAATTTCCATAGCTTGGAAAATACACATTCGTTGAGAATTTGATTTTCTAAAAAGGGAATTTGCATTCGCCGGGAATTCATTTCGGTATGCAGTGGACGATCATAATGCGTCATGAGAGTGGGTCACGATCGTTACCTGACCTGGGTGGTGACCTGAACTACTATCCGTTTGAAAATACAACGTACTTGGTTGTTTTTTGAATAACTATTAGAAAAGAGACAAAAATTTGCGATTTTCCAAACTCAGTAGTCAAAGTTACTTTACTTTTTATATTAAAATAAACGTTGCCAGGTTAGTCAGGAGCATCGATTATCTATGTATTCTGTGTTTTGAGATTGTCAGACCAGAAGAAAGTCCAATCCTGTTGGTTCGAAAAAAACCGTGTCCCCTGAAAAACCAAGCAAAACTAAAAGATCGCTTAGATCTCGTTTTGTAGAAGACACTTCGGACTATTTGTTCATGTATATTAATCAATAGACTGCTACTTTAATTTCTGGAAAACCGAGCTGGTTTCCCAAAGATCTGATGAAAAACCGGCCTTTGAGATTTTTTCAAAACTAGTTTTTGCTGGCGCAAAAGCATGTCTTAAAGTCTTGGCTATACAATCCAGAAAACTGCAGGTTTCTGTCTCTTTTCTAACAAAAGTTAACCAAAAAACAACTGAGTACGTTGTATTTTGAAACGGATAACAGTCAGAAAATAGTAGAGAATTCGCAATCGATCGTTACCTAACCTAGATGGTAACCTAAACTAGTGAGAGAAAAGATAAACATTGTAAGTCTATAGCCAGTATGAATACATGTGCAAGTAGTAAAGAATAATTCAGTTCGCCGAATGCGAGTTTTCCGTGATCTCGTCTTTTCAATTATTCTTCGAAGCCTTGATTATTTAAGAGCATCCAAAGGACGATGTAGATAACCTAGAGTTTTTGCAGCATACAATCAATTCAAAGTATATATCGCTTGCACAACGTAAAAAACAAACAACTTTTTCCCGAGTGAAAAACTGCTTCGAACTTTTGTCGCCCACTTCGTTTGTTCTTACAGAAAAGCCATTTAACAGTGTGTTATAAAGAAAAAGATGATGCCACAATGAAGAAAAATAATTTTTCTATCTTTCTGACTTGAAACAGAATATGGTGTCTCGAAACAGAATATGGTTTGGTAAAATCTTTTGCATTTTATGAAGTAGGCGATACAAGTCCGAAAGAATTTCTCATTAAGGAAAAAGTTGTCTGTTGTTTGCGTTGTACAAGTGGTATATACTTTGAATTGATCGTACGTTACAGAGACTCTGGGCTCACCCTTCGGATGCTCTTAAATAATCAAGACTTCGAAGAAGAATCAAAAATACAAAGTACTCTTAACTTTATCATTACTGTATTTTTACTCATCTGGGTTTTTGGTTTCTTTTGTTCTATGTAATTATTTCATTTTAGAACAAATTACATCAGCGTGATCAATACAATTGTACAAATAACTGGCGTATTTTGTTCACTATGTTTGTGTTGACTTTTGAGGAAGAAAAAATTGATTATTTATTCTATTTTCTTTTCATACTGTTATTTTGTTTGTTATGAAGTTGAATTGCAAAAATAACAAGGATCTATGTATCTCAACTTCAATATTTAAAAGATCTTAGATTAACTGAACCTCTTTTTCTTTTATCTATGCAATATTGTGTCATGTTGAGTAAATAACTGTTAAATAAATAAATATCATCATTTTTATTTTATTAAACAAACAAGAAATAAACAAAAGTATAAGACTAGTCAGATTTTCAGAGTAATCCGGGAAGTCTTTTTATTTTCACATCATTCGTAAGGTATGGGTAGAATTCAAGAATGCTAAAAGGAAAGATCGTAGGCAGAACTTGGGAAAGGTACAAAGCTTGTCCCGAAATCTTTTTATCTATGAAGTATATAAAGTATAGTGATAGATAACTGAGTATGTCTTTTAGTTCTTTACGACATTTACTCCTCTTTCAGTCATTTTGTAAAACACAAGCTGTGGTCAATCACACGTCGACTGTATGAAAACTAAAAGACACTAGAACATCTAAGCGTATAACAGGAATAAGAAAGTAAGATGAGAAGATAGACAGGTTATATATCCAGAAAAAGGTGAAAGTATAGTATTGAATGTTAGGTTTTAGAAATGCAAAACAGATAGCCTGTTACGCAAGTACAAAAAGATCTCGGAATAAATTTTGTGCAATTTTCCAGCCCTCAGTGTAGGTGTTTACTTCCTCTCAACTGAGAAAGATAATTTCTTACATCAGTTTTTTTGGGAAATTTTCATTCTATTTATAACTTTTATATCAGAGATGATTACTATTATAAATTTGGTATGCTATAGATCGACAAAAAACAAAATAAATGGATATAACGAAAGATAATATTGAAAAAAAGCTTCGAGATGAGTTTGAGCCGACTTACTTGGTAAGAGAAATTATTTAGTTTTTATATTTGATTTAATTATATTTTTTAACTTCAGGAAATTGAAGATATTTCAGGTGGTTGTGGTCTGAAATTTGATGCCACTATTGTTTCGTATAAATTCCAAAAGGTCACATTATTAAATCGACAAAGGTAACTTGTATGAAATAGAAGAACTACACATTGGATAGTCGTTATTCTTGTTGATTTTAGGATGGTCAATGATGTACTGAAAGCTGACATGCCGAAAATTCATGCATTTTCACAGCATACATATACTGTAAGTATATTAGCACGTTCTTGAGTCACGTGACTCTGTCCATCAACCCTACTAATGGTATAGTGCAGTTTTAATTTTGTTTTGCATTTAGCCTGAAGAATGGGAAAAGAAACAATCTACCAGTACACCAGCAGCAACCGATACGTCAGTGAAAGCTTGCTCAAATTGTGATAAATGATTCGTTTCCATTTTTGTTATCTATTGTTGATTAGGTTTTTTCGTACCTTTTATAATATATCCGATTGACGTTAAAATTATTTTCGCATTAAATAAAAATAAAATCTGATTATATATCGATAGAAAGATACATTTGACTCTAGATAAAAAGGGGGCCAATTATGTTTGGTTTTGAGTATGATTTAAAGTCATACTGAAATCTTAAATTCAGATTAAACGTGTAGTGAGATGTAGTCTTTTTTGAGATTCGTTTTTGTAAAATTTCGTTTCAGATTATAGATATGGATGATATAAGCGACTGGTCAGGGGCAATGCCTACAGACGTTGAGTATCTTGATGATAATTTTAATGTTGATGATATGTTAGACGAAGCCTATGAGAAAAAGATAGTAAATATTGACGAAGAAAAAATGAATACAGAAACAACAACATCGTCGGAAGTAGAAACAAAAGTGGCAGACAGTGACATAAACCCACCCGGTCAACCAAAAATTTATCATCGTTGGACAATCAAAGGTTATTGGCATGATAAATATAATATTTTACCTGATGGATGGGTAGAGGTATTTCATACAAGTGGTTTGCCACTCTATTTTCATAAGCAATCACGTGTTGTAAGTTTATCGAGACCGTACTTTCTCGGTTCAACCAGCGTTCGACATCATCTCATACCAATTACGGCCATACCATGTTTGTATTTAAAAAAATTACAAGAAGAACAATTTCAGTCATCAACTACTACTGTGACTGATCTTATCGATAAGAGCAATACTTCATCTGGCACAGCCACTTCTCCACTTTTACAAACAAAACAAAACGAATGTCCATTTCATAAGAAGACGCCATCAACTATCAAAATAGAAAACAATCATAATATCACGAATAATAAGCGAAAAAAACGAAAAATGAGTGAATTAGAAGATGGTAAAGATAGACGTTCTATTCTTATTGGGATTTTATAAGTTGAGCATGAGAAAATGAATTTAAAACTAATGTAAAGTATGTTTTACGTTTAGGCGAAATTTCATCTCCAAAACCGCTGGATGATGTTGATGAGGGTGAAATAAAATCACCATCCACACAAGAGATATCTTCTATAGTATCATCATCTCCGCCACAACTACCAGAAGAAACATTACTTGATGAATCTGATAATCAAGAAAATGTAAATAAAACAAAAGATTTACCCAAAACTGACAGTCGCACAGAAGAAAAACAACAACAGTTGCCTGTTTCATTACAAATATTATCAAATTCAACATTGGACGAAACGATACGAAATTCCGTATTAACCGCCGATGAATTACGTAATTATTGTGAAAAACGTTTTCAATTTGAAAAACGTGAATTTAAATTTTTTCCATCATTGGGTGATAAATGGCGTTATATTCGACAAGTACAAATGAAAAAACGTGAACAACAAATACCAGCTGACGCAAAAGTAATTGAATTACATACAAATAATACATTGTCAACAACAACGACAGCGAACGAAAATACAATAGCAACAATAACGACAACAACAAAAACATCTTTGTCAAATAAACCACCGTTGACAATGACCAATAATAATACTAAAACAGTTTCTTCAACAGTGAATAATGATACAAATCAAGCAAAAAAAGTCACAATTGATTTATATCCGAGTAAAAGTCCAATTGCTCTATTACAGGAATATTCGTTTAAAGTATTAAAATCAAATGTCAAATATGATTGGTATGCATAGATATCAGCGATAATAGAGATGTTTGAATTATTAAAAAAATTCTATTTTTCTATAATTTTATATTGTAGGTTTACGACGGATGTATCAAAAGAACCATTTGGTTGCCGTGTTGTTGTCGGTGATGTTTTGTATGGTACAGGCATTGGACGCAATAAACGCACAGCAAAACTGCACGCAACAGAAGAATCTCTCATTATTCTTTTACCACAATATAAAAAATTAATCGATCAGCAACAACAACATCAACAGCAAGATAATTCTACTACCACTGTATCAACACCAACCACAAAACAACAATTACAAGAAACTTCAAAACAAGACGAAGAAACAACCGGAGAAATATCAACTACAGTCCCCCAACAACAACCAAAAACATTTGTTGATTTAGGTGACAATTTATTGGATGAATATCGTATCGAAGATTTTAACATTTACGATGTTTGTATTACGTTGGGTAAACCAACGCCGTATCAAATGCTAGAGAAAAGTTTAACATACAATGCGTTGACACGTGGTGAAAGTCAAATTAAAATGTCTATGTCAAAAAAGCCAATGTTTACCACAATCACGTTAGAAATTGGTACCGATTATAAAGAGCAAGCACAAGCAAAAGATAAAATACATGCAAAAAATTTATGTGCACAAAAATTATTAAAAAAATTACATCCACATTTACAAACATATGGTTCATTAATACGTTTATATGAAAAAAATGCCAATACATATAGACGTGTTCGTGTTGATGATGAATTGGCTGAAATTGTTAGACAAGCGAAAAAAAATGAACCAAATTATGCACTGTTAGCAAAATTAAAAGAAGAAATGTTAAAATTGAAAGTAAAATTAGAAGAGAAAACAAAAGAGAAGGGTGGGATTGATGACAGGAGAAAACATGAAAATTATTCAATTCACATTGTAGATGTTGATGATGAACTTATTGGCCGTGTTGATACTAAGAAATATCAACCATTATAGTTGTGAAATGAGAATGTCTGTCTTATTCAGTGTTACATTAATTCACTTGTTTTTGATCAATTCTTGTATTGTGACACTTTTTACCGCAATGCAATACATTTGTTTTTATACGTTCGATGTATTTCTACTATATTTAACTGTTCTTGTTTTATACAGATTGAGTTTTTGCATAAAAATAAAAATTCTTAGAGACGTCTTATTTTGCTTAGAAATGTTTGTTCTATATGACTAAACTATAATTCTGAAAACTACTGGTAAAAAGTAGATTGAAAATAGAACTGTGATTTTTTGAAAATTTCTTGTTTTTAAACATTTTCAAGAGCTTTTATATAAATTTGATTGGATAGGAAAATGTTTCAGCTATTGTAGTTAACAAAAAGAAAAAACTTAGCAGGATAGCACCTAAAGGTGCTAAACGGTGGAACTCCCAGTACTGAGACGTCTAGACTTAGAAAAAACATTAGTTCTAAACTGAAATAAAAGTTTAATATACTAATGAAATTTAAAGAATATGGATAAAAAAAATTTTCTAACGAAATATTTATCTTTGGCTGTAAGCTGGAGTATATGAATGTTTTTTTTGGGAATTTCGTTTAACATATTACCATTTATTAATATTCGAAATTTGATGCTTTAACACAACTTGTTCCGATTCAGACATTTCTGACTTTCTTCGTGCTTTATACTCGCGATATTTATCTAGTTTTTGTCTGCGGTCAGATATATTTTGATGTGCACGTTTCATATGCATATATATTTTTCGATGATACCGAACCTTTTCCAGTTGTGATGTGTTCAATGACGATCTTCTCCGTCTCTTTCTGTGTGATGTTAACTTCGGTTTAGAATGACTAGTGAAACCCGATATCTTAGTGCGAATATTCAGCAATGATTTACTCCGATATTGGGCCGGAAAATCTGTTTGAGAGTTTAGCTGTGGTACTACCGGTCATGACTTCGAATGATTAGGTGTAGAATTCATATACAAAGAGATAAAAACAATTTAGAATAACCAAGGTTAAAAAAATAAAGGATCCAGTAAAAAGTAACTGTTTTTTACGAAAAATGTAAAACGAAAATAAGTACGGCATTAGCAACAATGTAAAAAATGTAAAATTCTGATTCCATAAATCGAAAAACTAGGCTTTCATATCGCTGACTTCGTCATAATAACAGATTTCGCGACTCAAAATTATCTTAAAATCAGGGTTTTGGGTATAAAACTGTAACTCCATCTTCTTTGAAGATACTGAGAGAATGCCAAAAAAATAATTTTCTATCGATAAATAGTAGCACACAAGCGAGACATAAAAAGTCTATGTTACAAAGGCTGGCGAATACAAAAAATCTTTATAATATGATTCACTTTTAATGATATTATTTGTATTTAATCTAATTTTTTATTATTTATCATGGGTAAGAAAAACAGGTTGCGACTACCACGTTAAGAGGTTGTGTGCACCTTTTTAAGAGATTGTGAGTACCACTTTAGAAGGTTGTGTGCGCCTTTCTAAGAGGTTGTGACTACCAATTTATGAGGTTGTGTGCGGTATTTTTTAACAATTTTTTTTAGGTTCCAGAGTCTTTTCATGAGAAATTTATCCGTTGTTCTTCTGCTTTTGTTTGTGAATTGAATATCATGACAGTTTCTTTCCGAAACGTCTCTTATCTATTATTTGTACAAAATAAATTATAGTCTAACTACAAATGGAGAAAAGAAAAATGAATAAAACTTATTACAAATGTGCAAATCAAGATCTATCGATCAAATAGTTTTACTCGTTTTTGAGTCCAATCGATGTCTTTGTCGGTGGAAATGTATTTGAATACCCTGACTTTTTACGTTCTAAATTATTTATCATATGGTTTATCTAGTAAAATAATTTGTTTTGGTACGTATCCCGTTTTTCCATCACCTCGACGTACAAACAGCCAATCTGTTAAATTTTGATTTTTTGGACTTTGTTGAATTAATGTGACCACTTCACCATCTAGAACACTCACATCACCGTGAAATGTTGGCTGATAATTCTCAATCACACGTAGTCGACAGTTTGACGAATATAATTCCCAGTTGATATTATTGTTTGTTTTATTTGTTAGTGTAGGATTTATTTTAGTAAATTGCTCAAACGTACTTATCGATAAACTTCTTCTATTCAATATTGATGGTGTCATGTTCAATGATGTATCATATGGATCTAGAGAAACGTTTGAAATTTGTCGAGATAGTATTGATTCGTCTTTAATAGTATTACGAGGAATAGTCGAATAAAGACTATTTTTGTTAAAAGAGAGCCGACAACTATTCAATTCATTGTCATAAGAACATGGACCGATGGCTGATACAAATAAACCTTTTGTTTCATTAGAGTTTGATGGTAGTTTTGATAATGTATTATAACAGCGATTATTAACAGAGAAACGCGGTCGACGATGATGAAAATTAGTCATTGTAGCAGACTGTTGTTGATTAATATGTCCATGATTGTAATAACTATTATTTGTTTTTGGTGGCTGACGCTCAATAGTCAAACATTCAAACAACGTACATTGATCATCTTCTCCATCAGCTGTGGTACTAACATTCAAAAGACTAAGATTATTCTGTGAATTGTAATCGACGGATGGTAACGATAACGAGGAACAACACGATGTGGAAACATTTTTATTAACGCTGTTTAACTCTTTATTTGTCTCACTGGACGTTTGAATAGAATCAATTAATGTTTTATTTGTTATCATGGAACAAGGATTTGGTAGAAGACAATAAAGTGGAACGAAACCTTGTTGTTTGCACAGTGTTTCAATCCATACCCAGTTCGATGTGGCAAACAATGCTTTGACTGCCATACCTAGAAGCAATAAAAAAATGGTGTATTGGTCATTCAAAGTATAGATTTTCTTCCTTATTTTAGAAATTATTAACTGAAAGATTAAATTTTAAAGTACAGATACAACTTTCAGCTGAGATAATTTGAAAAAAATTGGATTCTGTACAGATATATTTCATGAAGCAAAGTAGTTTACAAGGAACAACGTGTATCTATTATGAATGTACATTTGATGGAGGTTCAACTTCAAAAAGTATATGTTTACCTACTAAATAGAAAAAAATCAGCTTGTTTATACATTAGCAACATGTTCAATATAAGTAATCTATTTTATTTACATTAATTATTATAGTTGAACAAGTCAGGAAATACAAATCGGTATGTTTATATTCGCAATACTTTTTGAATGAACGAATAAATAGAAAAGTTTGATTAATAAGAGAAACAAATTGACCGTCTCTGAATATTAATTTTGATTGAAAATGAACATAGATTTATGAAAAAATGGATGAGGTCATCGATGTCATTCATGACGTATGAACAAATGATACATAGATAAATTAATAGATATATTGGATGCGTTGAACAAAAGTCAGAAACTATTCTTATTTAGTGTGATTCTAAGTGGAATCAGGTTTCACTAAAATCTGAGTGAACAGTGCTATAATACCGATAAATTATAGCGGCAGAGATCCATCAGATACAGTCGTGCTATTAACTAATAATTCAGCCAATCTCGCTCAAAAAAAATGAGTATAAGATGAAAGAAAGGGTTTTACATTAACGCATAGGCGAATATATGGATTATATTGAATCCAGATCATCTCGACTTCTGTGGTCTAGTATGACCTTTATACGAAGTGTTAGAGCATACCAAGAACTTTTTAACACGTATAATTAAAATCTAATGAGGCTTTTGTAACAATATGTTCTTTTTTATAGTAAAAGACAATCTGTATGAATATCAAATGTTCACTCATTATTCTCGTGATCTACTTTTTTTTCATATAGACGATTATTAAATAATACCTTTCATTTCATTTAAAGGTCTATTATACAATTTCAATTCTCCACTTTTAGTTGTTGAATATGACGCATTGTGTCCTCTTTATTTATAGTCATATCTATGCGAAGTGTTAAACAATTAATAAATTCACTTGAATATATTAACGATTGTCTTTTACATATTGACTAGAAGCAATATCTAACAAGTAATTTTATTTTCAAAGTAGAACATCTCACATCATAGATCCAATTCAATTCAGCGATTGTTGTTTTTTCTTCCACCTTCTTTCGCTTTCATTAAAACGATTATATAGTATTTGTTGAACGAAGCATTGACATAGATTAACTTACCCTTGCTAACTGCTATTGTTTCTTTGAATTTTGAATGTAGTGGTTTATACGATTGTGTTACCAACATGTCTAATCTTGTTGGACATTGTTTTGTGGCTAGTGTTAATTCTCGATAAAAACCACCATAATTTTCTGATAATGATTTTTGATTCAATTCTGTTGTTGATGTACTTGTGGTAGTAATACTTGTATTTAAATTTTCTTTAATAATCGATGATAATACTTGAACTTTTCGAAATGAATCTTGATGTTGAGATTTTTTAATATAGATTCCAGTAGATTTTGTTTCTGTCTCCGGACGAATTCTTGTAGATAATCGACATACACTTTTACTACGTCTTTTACAATTGTTAATTTTCGTTCGTAATGATTGTAATTTTGGTTTTGATGAACATTCTTTTTTTTTCGTTGCTAATATATCAACATTCACAGGTGCATGTTTTGATGATACAAATTCATAAAACGGATCTTTATTAATCTTTTTACATACATTGGTTAGTTCTAAATAAAAAATATAAATACAAACATCTACCTATATGATGAACAGGTGAAATAGATCATTAGCAAGTAATTTCTCTAGGATACAGAGAAGTTAAACTCATTAGATGAAGATATATATTACATTGTTCACATAATTGTCTCTATAGGTATCTTACAACTCTACATCTGTCTACATCTATTTCTGATTTTGACTGTATAGAACAAGTAGTAGCAGACAAAGTTTGATCATAGAGTATTTGACAAATACTCATTACTCATCAGATTTTTGTCCATTTATTATCTTATGACATTATGAAAGACCACATGTTGAGTTGAAAAAAAATTAAATGAATCTTTTTATGTAGACAATATTATGTAAATTGGATGAAACAGGATATCGACAAGTGCTCTTAAAAAACCGTTTAAGTATAATTTGAAATCAAATTTGTCTAACACATTGTCAGATTCTATATCCTTTTGACAAAAAAACAGTATGTATTATCCACTTTCTATATGCAGATGCAATTTTTCTATTTTGTCTATTTATATAAATTTCTTTGAAGAAAAGCAAAATGTATTTGAATACGAAACGAACGGTGTGTAATTAGTTTAACAAGAAAAAGGAAATATAGTAGAATGATTCCAGCCGGTTCAGATCAAGACGAATCAATATTTAAATATTGATGTTATAAAATAACAAAAAAATGAACACGTGTTTTTGAATATTTATAAATAATAAATCTAGTAATTCAAAAACATTGATCAAAAGAAATATATTAAATGTAAAGGTTTTTACTTCGTTTTCCAATGTACTGGAACACATAAATCTTGACAAGAAAAAAGACTATAAAACATAATTTAATATCTTACTCAGTATATTACATCCATCCCACATTTTTTTTTCCACTCCAATAAATACTTTTGATTGAAACTTTTTGTTTATTCATTTCTATTTTTTAGTACTTCAATATTATGTAAAGTGATGAAAACTTTAATATGAATCTTCTCAGCGTGCTATTTGAGGTATATAATATATTTATAGACTCTCCTCTCTTTCTGTCTCACTTCAGGATCAACATCTGCAATATGAAATTACATCTTTCTTATGCGTGTATGAGTGTGTGTATTAATAACATAGCTAAACAAATTACATTTATTCTACCTTTTCTCTTATCAAATCAATAAATAGACGAGTCATTTACAACTATATATTGAGGAGTGTTTCAAAATCTATACAAGTTAATACTAAACTAAACTCAGATACCACCCTATTTCTTTATTATATAACATAAAACATGCGGGATACTTTTACGAGTTTATTAAAATGGTTTAATTTCTTTTTGGAAATTACGGTCATAATTTTATTTCTATTATGTTCAATTATTCATTATTAAAACGTTTATTACACATCTGAGTGTTAATTTTGCCACAAGCATGTCGTTTGTCTAATAAACAGCTGTCAAATAACTTTTAATCGATTAGAATATTTATCTTCGTCTCGTTTTACATCCCTTCCCGAATAAATTATGAACTACAACTGATACATAGTTGTAGTGTGCATCTAAAGAGCAACTTACTCAGACAAAGCGTTTAAAAACGAAATAATCTGAAAACTTAAAAATCAACGAAAGAGAAAGATAACTGTTAGAATATTTGTTTTACCGGAGATTTTCTGATTAAAAGACTTATACTTTATAATACTTATTTGACTTTTGAAAAAAGAGTGGAAAATTATTTTATGATAGAAATTATAAAGTTTTATCTTAATATTTACCTTTCACATGTTTTCGAAATTGAAATACGCGAATAATCTTTGAATTTGTCCAACTATTTGAATTGTGTTTTTGGGAATAATATTCCATTTGGTTTGATAAATTTAAGATTAAATACGAAATAGATTATCTCTTATATCATATTCAACAGTTTGACTTTACTCATTATCTATCGTATTTCGATTGTAATATGAGGCAGAAGGATGATGTTGATACTGATTCTTTTTCGATAACAACCAATCCATATGTCTATTCATTTTTTCACGTTCCAAAGAGAGAGAGAGAGAGAAAGAGAGAGAAAAGAAAAAATATTATTCTATACATCATCAATATTGAACATATTTTTCGTGTACATAGTATGTGTGCCATACAAACCTTGACTCTCTCAACCACAACAAAAAAAATTTTAATTATCAATATGACACCTTTTTTGACTGGTTATGACCTTTCGTATTATAAATGACTATAAACGTTCATATGTTCAAACGAACAAAATGTACAAGGTTAAAGTGCGTGCATGAGAAAAACCGCATTTCTCCTGTATAGAAACTCAAGTTCAATTGTAATAATAATCTTTTTGTTTTCAGCAACAAATTCTATATATTTTTTTTTCTGATGATTTAAAACATAATGGTTAATAGTCGGATGAACTTCAAACATCTGTTCATACAATGGTATATACATTCTTTTATTGTCATTGTTATTAAAAAAATTGCTTTGTTTATTTCAAAAAGGGCAATATCATGTACAAGGGGCACCTGTAGATAACTGCTACAAATATCATTTTAGATTACTAGCAAAAAATTCATCTGGACATGATATATGACAGAGACGATAATCTCATAGTTTCTTATTTTTCGTATTAATTGGATAAATTAATAAATGAAAAATGATATTTGTAGTAGATATCTACTTTTTGTATTATTGTTATCTTTCGTATTGCTCTGCTCTCAGGTCACTTGTGTTTGTGTAGAAAAGTTCGTATTATTCTACCGAATTTCATCAACAGTCTTCTGAGAAACTCTTTAGAAATAACAAGGGAATCGTTTATGTCTCTTGAGTAAAAGTCAGTGAATAGAACATTTATTATGTTTCATAGTTTACAGTACATTCAATCGACTGACTGCAATGTCATTCTACAAATCAAATCCTTTCTCTCTATTATCAATGATCAAACTAAAAGCTTCTTCTTTATTTTAAATTTTATTACTCTTTTCACACTGAGAACGATTTATATCGAAAAGAATTTTTATAAAGAGAATCTCGCACATTTTCAACCATGATGTGTGTGTTAGTTTCTTTTCAAGTTAACGGTGACGATAATAGGCTTTCTCTTTAAGAAAAAATGTATTTTACTGTGCATTAACGAGAAGAAAAGATAATACTCACCTCAATGCTATTTTTAAAGTGTAGCCTACTGAGAAAGGATCAAATCAATCGATTATCACAGAGTAAATGGTGAGATTAAAATATGCTCAGTTGCCAGTTTTTTCTATCATATATCCTAACGATATAATTAGATGTTATCGATTGTTCAATCTATCAATTGTTTTGAGTAATAAAAACATAACTGATCATTATAAAACGCAAATCAGATTCTCAGATTTATTGACGATAAGTAGGTTATATATAGTGCATTAATTCAATAAATGATCTTAAAAAACAAGAAGATATTTTTTCATCTCTTTCGAAATTTGATTAATGCGAATATATTTATTTTGTTTAAGTTAATTCGGTTGAAGAAAACACATATAGTAGCCAACACTAGAGATATGACTTATAATCATAAAAGAAAACTGAAAAACAACAATAAATAAAAATGATAAAATTCACAAATTTGACTATGGCGCTTTTTTTTGGACAAAGTTGTCTTAGTTGTGTACCACAATACACGGACGCATAAGACAAAAAAAAGCAGATGTTAAGTTTATTTTGAAGTTTTGTTTCTTTAAAAAAGCGTGCATTAGAAGATATAAGAAAATAAACGGATATGTTTTTTCCATATGAATAGACATAATTACCTTTTTTTTTTGAATTATTTACAGTAAAATACTCAAACTTGTACATCGAGAATTTCACCCCACAGCAAAGATTCATGTGAATTTGATGATGTTGAAGGAGAACGATGTTGTAAATCTAACCGTTTAATCCATACATCGTTATTTTCATTTGATAATATCGATTTTAAAGATGAAAACGAATGATAAATTGAATTTGTATCATTATGCGTATTTGGACATAGTTTTAAAGAAGGTTGTTGAAGATTATCTTCTGACTCACGGTTTTTGAAATGTCCGTTAGAATAGTATCGTTTACGAAATAATTCATCATTACTATTGGAAGTGGGATGTGTAAATGATTTTGATACGCGTTTCAATGTCGAACGATCTCTTAATGGTTCGAAATTCTTTTTGTTGTCGCATATTTGAATATAATTTAATTCGTTTTTACTATTAAAAATTTTTTCAAGTAAATTGGACGGTTTAGGTAATTGTTTCGGACTCAGGAATGTATTATTTTTGACAATACTTAACAGTGGGGATTCCTGTTAAAAATGAAAATATTTCATCAAAACATTACCGTAAAGATTAATAGATAGGGAGATGATTTAATATCGTTTTATTATATGTTGAAGAGAAGATAAATGAAAACTTATTTCTATCGAAATAGAAACTCCCTCAGAGAACTATCTACACACTGTTTACATATTCTGATTTATTTTTAGGAGATGTTATCGGTAATATGTTTTTATTTCTTGTTTCAGTTTTTAATAACGTATCAGTAGCTGAAAATATTCTGATTTATAGAATCAGAAAAATATGATACACAAGGAGCTTACAATTAATTGATAAATCATTAACTTACTGTTGATTCTGTGCTCTCGTTTTCGTGTTTACTTTTCTTCCATTTTTGTTGTTTGTTACTAATCGATTTTAGTCTTGACAATAATGAGTATTTACCATTCATTCGAGCTTTTTGCTGACATTGTTGTTGTTCTACTGATGTTGAATATCTGGGATTTGTTGATGCGTCATTTATCATATTACTTCGACTATAACTGGTTGGTAACGTAATTTTGCCCAATGTTTTTGAATGAAGAGAAAAACTCGAATTAATATCTTTAGTATTAATTTGTTCAAACGAATTTGTATAGAAATTTTTTTTCATTGCACCGGGAAAATAAAGATTATAACATTTGTTTAAGAAAGAAAAACTTGAACGAAACGTTGAACGAAAACGATCAGAAAAACAACAATATAAAACAAAATTAATTGATGCATTTAATGCCACTAATGAATTAGCAAAATTATTATAGATTAAAAGTTTAGTTGATATTGCTAACTCTTCATTATACGATGCTATTGTTAAACTAATCGCTTGGGGTATTTGACATACGGTAAACACAATAACAACAGCAACTAGGAAAAAGTGTATAAGTAACATAAAGTATTGTGATTGAAAACATTCTTAATACATACTTAACATGATAGTAGTTTTTCGTTGTTCATTTTGTGTAGTACGATGATGTCGACGTAATTTAATACCGTCAATACTATTTTGAGAAGATTTTTTTGAACGATGAACATAAACAATTAAAATTGTATTAAATATGAATAATAGTATTAGTGGTATCCAAATAATGGCAAATGTAACAAAATTAAAATAAAATTTTTGATATAGTTTTGATTTTAATAATGAAGTGTGTTGTGCTTCGATTCTGTATGAATTTGTCTGATTATTTTTTACACGAACAAGTTTTGTTTCGAATGCGGATGGTAGAGTAGCTATCAGAGCTGCGAAGAGAACGCCGCTAATAATTCTTCTAGCATGATAGACAGTACACCATGTTCGACTTTGCAATGGATATGTGATTGCTACCCATCTAAATTAAATAACAATGCAACTATGATTTTGATAGCAACATTGTCTGACTGACCCAAAAATTTAGAACAGGAAATCGATAAATAGAAGAATTTCGGTATACCGACTTTGGGGCGCCAATAGAAGAATACAGTTGACAATAAGACGCGAACGTCCTAAGGGCGCACAATGTTTTGGCGCAATTTCTGTTGATTTGATCATTGACGCATGAGTGTGATGGTAAATGTTAGTATGTTAGCGTTGCGCCTTACTGTCGGCATCCATCCTGTGATATTTAACAACTTCTTGCTGTCCCAGTCTGAGACCGGTCTGATTTGTGAACATCTGCAATTTACATAATATCTAGATGTTTAGATATTCAGATATTCGGACATTCAAATGTTAGATATTTGGATATTCAAATATTCAGATGTTAAGGTCTTCAGTTCTTCTCACTCACTCTCATCTTCCCACTCCCTCCCCCTTCGCCTCCCTAAATATCTGAATATCTGAACATCTAGATATTATGTAAATTGTAGATGTTCACAAATCTGACCCTATTGTCCAGTCTCGATTTGTCAGAAAAACTCTAATAAGTGAGATTTTGATCAAGTCCTTGGACTTTTGCCGTCAAAGTCAAAGCTCAAAAACTAATGAAAGCATGTGGTCATACCTTTCAATAGTGAAAGTGACAGTAAGCCATACGGATGCATTCGAAGACCAATCAGCTATGGGTCTAGCTATTGTTGAAATGATTTCTGATGAACTTCGATGTATAAAGCACGGATGAGCGGCAACATTGAGTGTCATTGTCAATAATAAATAGAAAATATCGACTAATGCTAATATCATTAAATAATTATTTGTACTTGACATAATCATGCGACGTTTTGTCAATACAATAATAGCTAATATATTTCCGGTAACACCTAAAATAGAATGTAATTTAAGAGCAGAAGAAGAGTAACAAATTATAATTCTATCCAAGTTTTTTTATTAAGATTTGTCTATATGATCACCACTGTCCTCTCTCGTACAGTATTTCTGACTCGAATTCATCTTTTGCTTGATATTTACTCTTGAATCTACGAGATCAGAGGTGATGAAAATACTACGAAAGCGACAGACGATAGAACGATCGACACAGACAATCTTTACAGTGCACTCTTTTTTGACATTCATATGTATAAATAGGGATGCACTAAGCTTTAGAACTTGACCTCGAATGTCACGCATTTTTGATACTTAAAATCTTCAAGCTCTACTGAGCTTTTATACCATACTTCATCCGTTTTCTCTTCTCTGTCTGAAACTAGTGCTAAAATTGATAAAATTCAATGACAAGGTGCCACGCCCGGTAAAGCTTGGCTAAAGATAATGGTACCTTTTCATTGCAGAAAAAACTGGTTGAGTCTTGTGTAAAAGCTGGTAGAGCTTGGAGGTTTTAATTATTGAAAATACATGATCTTTTAGGTCAAGTTATAAGACTTAATGCATTCCTATGTATACGACAAGTCTCTGCCACCCATGGTTGAATTTCATACCAAAAAATGCTAATGTTGGCCAGATCCAATTTTTAACTAAATTTCTAACAAAAAATAATGTTTTATCTTGCTGACGAGCGGCTAATAATGTTTCGTTACAATAAAATAAACCAAACATATTAATAATATTGTATACATATCGATCAATTGATTAAAATATATTTGTCTTTGTTTATAGTCCATTTGATCTTTTTAGACGATGATAAGTTTGACATCTTTGTCGCTTGTATCAGATTTTTCAACTATTATATTTTTATGATTGTGCTCAACTTTTTCTCCAGTAGATAGATAATTTAGACGAAAAATGAGAGAAAAATATAAAAATATTATTTATTACTTATATTTTATTGTGTTGAATTAAACTTTAATGTTGTTATTAGTACATCCCTATCTAAAGTGAGAAAGAAAAAGAAGGGAATGAATAACTAAAAACAAAACGGAAGTCTGCAGATGTGAAATGAGAGAATCTTAGTCGAATGTCGAGTATCTTTTACGACAAAAGAGAAAGAAGAAAACTTCTGTATCTTTTTACCATTAATTGTCGCTCTTAACATAATATATTGCAATGATTTTATAAATTCATTTTTCATAATAAAACAACGTCACTTGATCTGTGTATAACATACTATTCAGTCTTTCTTTCTATCGCAAGTTAACCTAAAGAAAAGAATAAAATAATCAAACATATATTCGTTATTATCAGAGTTGAGTGACTTCTACGTACCTTACATGAATAGATTAACTCTACTTTTGTTTCTATCTACTAACGTCGATTATGTCACTAATCGTTTATGTAATTTGTTTTGATTTTTATACTACTGTCTTTTTAACTCAATTGAGTAAGAAACAACGAAAATGTAACATATGTTTTTCTTTGTATATAATAATCCCGCATATTGTTTCACGAAATATTTTTTTTATAAAAGACGAACAATACAAAGGATCCCCTGGAGTAACAAATTATAGAAAACTGACAAAGTTTTGTATAAAAGACTGCTTAACTGGTGGATGGTATTGGCTCTTTTTTTCACCCTTAAAAAGCTTATGATAAAACGAAGGACGTACTAAGTGAACATAGTGTAAATATTATAGTTTTAGAAGTGTTAAAACGACGTAGATCGAGTCACACCACAAAGTGTGCAACATGCACTTGGTTATACAAAAACAAAGAAGATAATGAATTATTTGTCTAATATACTTGCCACTAATACAACTATCCCATAAACACACACAAAAATATGTTAATAAATGGTACCGATTCTCAGAGAAAAAATTATTAATGCAGATATGATCTAAAAAATAGTAAATGAATATGTTATACTCACTCTATAATAAGAAAATAAATTTGATTTTTATCTATTCAACTACTCAATTCATGATTTTTAATTATACATACAGTTAGCAGTACATGAACAAGGGCAGATAAAATTGAAAATTTTGCTTTTTATCATATACAAAATATTACTTTTTTTTCTAAAAAAAATAACTCCACAGAAAAAGATAAATATTAATTTACGCTATTCGATTATATACTATATTTTTTTGACACGTACATAGAATCGAAGAAAATATACCTGATTACACTTCATCAACAGTTCTATTTGGCCAAAAGAATCATCTTTACATATTGAATCTGTTTCTGAACGTAATCGGAACACATCATTGTTAAAATTGTTTCCCTTTTTTCGCGACCTTTTGAGGTTATAGTAAATTAACTCTTGTTCGGCAAGAAAGAGAAACAAACTTCGAATAACAAAGTTACCTTTAAACTTAAATTATCAAAGTTCGTGGAAATAATGTTTCTAAAAATGACTTCTAGCGTCAATTTTTTTGTCTATATCTTTACTGACTTACATCCTTTGACAATAGATATACATAATCACAGAGGGATGATTGTGAGACTGATAGTTAATACAAAATAAATGATTTGGTATCCTGCATTTACATAGAATATACCATAAGAACCGGATGTCTACTTATTTATTCGCTAGTCACGTAATCATATGTTTGCGAATGCGGTGTGAAAGAGGAACTGTCGAAAATCAGCTCTTTTTTATTTCTGAAAACAGCATCACTACGTTCACTTTTGTTTTTAGTAATTATTTATTAGTTTCGTTAGTAAATCTGCATACATAGTTTTTTAGAGATATTTTTTCTACTCTTTCATTTTCACATATTTTTTAGTAGTTTGTCTTTTCTCTCTCTTATAATAAACATGGCGAAAATGGCAGATCATTCGACCCATGTTCAGCACATTTGTCCAGAGAGAGACCTATTTTTTCTGTGATTTTGCAATTCTAGAAAACAACCTGGGATATAAAATATGAAAACTTCTGAATGTTTCCGCACTGAATTCTTTGATATGCGTTTCTTATCTGATCTACTGCTAAATTTCTCTGCAATGATCTATTAGTTCAATGTAATATTTTGTTTTAGTTAATTCATCAGCATGCCGTCAAGATCAAGATCAATTTTTCGCTTTTTGTCGTCAGTAGTGTCCGATGTTGTGTGACTTCAGGGCTGTCACGACCAGACAGACTTTGCGGGGGTGCTCCACTGAGACAAGAATTTTTTTTTCAGAGAACGCAAGAAAAAAAAATTTTTCTGCTGAAAAAACTCGAGGATTTTTTATTTTTGTGGGGTGTCATACCCGCTCTCTCCAGTAACGTCAGCCCTGAGTGACTTTCTCTACAGTCAAAGAAAGCAAAGAGCGGCTATTTTTGTCAAATAACTAACAACAAGTGTAAAAATGACATGTGCAGAACAACTTCAACATCTTTATAGGATACACCACACATCGATGGATTCTCTTTCATTGCTCACCTCACTGTTCCTGCAACTGCCAGTTGAGGCCACTAACGAGATATAGAAAATTTTTCGATCATGTTGAGTTAAAAAGAGTATGAAAGATTGAATAGAATGAATATATTTTAAAAGTAAACGCGCAAATTTTGCTTTGAGAAGTAGTCCAAATAGACTTTAGTAGTCATTGGCATGCCAAGAAACTCGACGCTTAGATATCTAGATAGCATGATCAATAACAAGTGGGAAGCGTAATAATTTGAATAGCCTGACATTATTCTTTAACAATTACTAAAAACGTTTTTCACCAGTGTGTACTATGGCTAACAAAAAAACTAATTTGGAATTTACTATTCAGAA